GCACAGGAGTTGGAGGGTGACAGGTGGGCTAGAGGCAAGTGGGGAGGGATTGGGAAGTTAGTAGAGACTGAGCAAGGGGAAAAGCAGGGAATCAGTTGCACTCCAGGCTCAGAATGGGGGAATTTAGAGTTCAGGTGGGTCTCATGGGTCTGTGAGTGATGACTGGTCACTCGGGGCTTCTTCTCAGAGGGACTTCCTGACAGACTGGAGAAGCTGCATTCAGAGCCAGAAATCTCCCACCCAGCAAACCCCCAGAGAGGAATTTTTCCATAAGGAAAGCAGGAGTTGAGATCAACCATGTTTATTCCCATTATCCTGCCTAGGGTTTTGGTCTGACATGGGACGGGAGCAACACAGACTTTCTGGGACAGCCACCGGACTAGCCTAGACTATATGATAGAAGATAACAGTGTGTCAGTGGTTTTGTCAGGGGTCTTTGGCAACGCCCAGCTCAGAGCTACACCAGCTTGGGATCTGATGGGCCCAGAAGTTTCCTCCAGGACCTCAGATCCCATGGGCCATGTTCAGAGCAGAATCCAACTGACCTCAATGGGATCAGGTGGGCTGCGAGCCATGTGAACTGGGATCAGCTCATTCCCTGACTCTGCTGTCTTGCCCATAGCTCTGTTATTATGTGGGGAATTTCCACCTGCACTCTTGGGAAAGGCATTACTGGTTGTGCTTGTTCAGAATCCATCTCCCACATCGATTATATCAGAATAGCCATACTGGTCAGACCAATGGTCCATCTAGCCCTATACCCTTTCTTCTGACAGTGGCCGGTGCCAGGTGCTAAGAAGGGAATGAACAGAACAGGCAATTTATCGAGTGAGCCATCCCCTCAGGCCCACCGACAGCAATTCTGGGCCCCAGGGCAGAACAGTCAATGGGTCCCCGCTGGTGCCCAGCGAGCTGCTACCGGCTGCTCTGCTGGGCATGCTCTTCTGGCACGGCCAGGGCTTCCACATGCCTGCCCGGCAGCCTTTGCCGCCGCCGGTACCACCCCGCACATGCCTAGGAGCATAGGCACCAACTTCCAGATTTCCCGGGGGGTGCTTGATCCCCCGCTTTGTCCTAGGCCCCTTCCCCCAATGCCCCACCCCCATCCTACCTCTTCCCATCCCTGTTCCGCCCCGTCCCCCGAGGGCGCCCCATATATAACTGGTGCCTCCCTATAGTGGGGGGGGCACAATCTAAAGGGCAGGCCATGTGTCTACTCCCTGCCCAGCCCAGGGGCACCGTGCTCTCCTCACCCCATGTTACCTGCGGGGGGGGGCACTTTGTCCTCCCGCTGCGCCTACCCCACCCCCCTGGCACTTTCTGCCGCTCACCCTGGTGGGCAGGAGTCCCGTCGGGGAGCAGGAGAGAGCCCCTTAAAACCCCGGATCCTCCCGGTCGCTGCTTTGCAGCCCTGCCCCGCAGCTGCCTGAGATACCTGGCTGAGGAGGAGGTGGCTTCCACTCCCCGCCCGGCTCAGCTGCTGGGGACCCCGGCACCCGAGCCCGGGCAGGAAATGGAAGTGACCTCCCCAGTCAGGCTCTCTAAGGCAGCCGCCGCGCAGGGCTGCAGAGGAGTGTCTCAGCGGCTGGAAGGGGCTGGTCCTGCTCCTTCCACTCCTGGCATCTGAGCCATAAGTCGCCCAGGCCCACCCCCTCCCCACCCCTGCTCCTCTCCCTCCGCCCAGCGCCTTCCGCATGCCGCCAAACAGCTGATGGTGGCGGGCGGGAGGTACTGGGTGGAAGGGGGACAAGCTGATTGATGGGGCTGCCGCTGGTGGGAGGCTCGGGGGGGGGAAGGGGCCCGCCGGTGGGTGCTCAGCACCCACTTGGTGCCTATGCCTAGGAGCCCTGCAGCCCTGGGCCCTTTTAAATCACCCGGGCCCCTGGACAATTGCCCCTTTTGCCCCCTCACGCCCCCATTGGTGGGCCTGCCTGGCATCCACTCAGAGTCTGGCAGTCAGAGGCTAGGAACACCCAGAGCATGGGGTTGTATCCCTGCCCATCCTGGCTAACAGCCATTGATGGACCTATCCTCTATGAACTTTTCTAATTCTTTTTTGACCCATTAGTTTTGGCCTTCACAACATCCCCCGCCAAGGAGTTCCACATCTTGACTGTGCATCGTGTGAAATACTTCCTTTTGTTGGTTTTAAACCTGCTGCCTATTGATTGCATTGGGTGACCCCCTAGCTCATGTGTTAGGTGAAGGTGTAAATAATACTTCATGATTATTGCTTTGAACTCATGCTACCCTTCTCCCCAGCATGGAGTGGGTACATTCATAGTACATAAAAACAGCCATACCGAGTCAGATCAAAGGTCCATCTAGCCCAGTATCCTGTATTCCGACAGTGGCCAATGCCAGGTGCCCCAGAGGGAATGAACAGAACAGGTAATCATCAACTGATCCCTTTCCTGTCGCCCATTCCCAGCTTCTGGCAAGCAGAGGCTAGGGACACCATCCCTGCCCATACTGGCTAGTGGCCATTGATGGAACATAGTGCACTGTGTTTCAACAATCCATGGCTGGCATAGCAGGCCCTTGGGGATCATACCAAGCCAGCAGAATTTAAGAACTGTCCTGAGATTTCTCCAAATTATGCTAGGGGTCAAATCTGCCCTTGGCAGCTCTGAGAGCCGGCAGAATGCAAAGGTGGCTTAAAGCCAGCTTGCCCCACCCCTTCTCAGCTGTGTCATGCACAGCTCTGTGCCCCTGGAACTGGGTTAAACCCTGGGACTGTACTATCATCAGCCCAGATCCAAGGTCACATTTAAATGTTAATGGTGCTGGTCCCCCGACTTTTGCAGTTATAACTGAGTCAGACTTTGTGCTAGCACAAGAGAGGGAGATGAAATTGACCAGACACTGACAACCCACAGCCCTGAAGCTGATGAGCCTATTGTCATTTAGCAAAAGGACAGAAAAAGTAAGTAAGTTAACGTCCTGTTGCTGAATCAGTTAAATGCTTAAAAAAAAATTTCTGTCAGAAGAACTAACGTGAACATAGCGAAGGATATTTGTGTGGCTTTTCAGGTAGGATTTTTTTCAACAGGACAATGCCCCTTTAACAAATGCTCCTTTCTAATCAGCCCCAAGGCTCATTAATTTGCTCCCCCCACAGCAGAATAGCTCATCACTGTTTGAGCCTAATCCACCCCAGGGGCACAACTGGATGTGAGGAGTAATGTTAGGTGCTACTTAGCGAAGGGTGAAGTGACATGAACAGTCTGTGTCACCCTTCTATGGTGAAAGCCTGGGCTGGGGCCTTTAAAACACAAGGATTATTCCCCTAATCCTCCTCAATCAGTATCACGCCCAACCTGGAGCACAGTCTGTGTCTCATGGATTTATGTTGCAGCGAAAGCTCATGGGATACGGATATGAAGAAGGGCAACGAGAAAGGCTGCCCCTTTGTACAAGGGTATATGGCCCCCTCAGCCTAGACATAGCCCATTATTCACTGAGTATGACACCCCCGCACCCCTCTTTGTGCTTGATTGTCTGAGGCTCCATCTCAGTTACAGCAAGGAACTCAAGCCATTCAGGCTCCTGCTCTTAGCTCTGCAGGGCCGGCGTTTAGCCGCAGGAGACAATGATGGCTGTTCCCCAGGCTAGCGTGGCAGTTAATTCACAGCCATGATGATGAGATTGTTTTCTGTAAATTATCATGACACAATGGGGCCGTCTCACTTTAACATCATTTTCAGTGAATCACCTTGGAAACCAAGCAGCCGTGGATGTGCAGTAACCAAGCTTTTCTCTGGGAGCTAAGAGGGCAGGGTGAGGACATCAGAAGATCCAACGTAATATCTGGTGCAATGGCTGCAGTTTAATTCACTTTGAACTTGTTATAACTAAGGCTACGAAGACCTCCGTGACTTTAGCCCAAAGTGGCTGGGAGCTGACGAGTCCCACCGCCACCCAGAGTGGCAAGGAACTGCAGGGTACCCCTGCCACCGAAGGCAGCGGGGCCCCAGAGCTCCGAGGCAGTGGGGGGACCCTGCAGCGTCCAGCTGCCGTGGGTGGTGGGGGACCCCGCAGCTCCCGGCCACCACAGGTGGCAGAGGAGACCCAGCTGCTCCCAGCCACCGTGGGAGGCTGTGTCCCTGCAGCTACTGGCTGTTGCGGGCGGTGGGGGGACCCTCACAGCTCCCTGCAACACCCGCCTGCCGCTGGGCACAGGGTACCCTGCAGCTCCTCGCCACCAGGGGCGCAGGGGAGCTCCAAATGAGTGAGTGGGGACCCTGCAGCTTCTGGCTGGCCCCCACAGCTCTCAGCCTCTGGCAATGGGGAACCCCACAGCTCAGAGGTGCGGAGGAGGGGGACCCTGGAACTCTGAGCCCCCATGGATGGTGGGGGGCCCTCAGAGCTCCCTGCCAGGCCCCTGCAGCTGTGTAGCGGCTCCCCATTTTGTGATGGATAATTTTAGTAAAAGTCAGGGACAGGTCACAGGCTTCTGTGAATTTTTCTTTATTGCCTGTGACCGGGCTGTGATTTTTACTAAAAATATCTGTGAAAAAATCTTAGCCTTAGTTATAACCTAATGAGGGATACCTGTTCTCTTGTATCTAAACTAATTATCTCCTGTGGATTCCCCTGCCTATAAATGCAGGGTGTCCCCTTCTCCCTTCAAAGTTGTGCCCTCCCCTACATAGCCCTCTTTACCAGCTAAGATTCCAGTAGCACTTCAGACTCTGAGCCAGGCTCCGTGAGCTGGGCACCACACACACACTAAGAGCTGCTCATTCCATCGATGAGCTTGCTGTGTACGCAGACATGGGAGAAGCATTATCCCCATTTTACAGACAGGGAACAGAGGCTTAGAAAGATTCAGTGACCCACCCACGGTGTCAGCAGCAGGGCTGAGACTTGAGCCTAGGTCTCCCAAATCCAGGGCAGTGACTTAAGCAGCAGGCCAGCCTGCTTCCTTGTGTGGGCACTTGCCCTTGCCCCCACCCCCATCCCCAGTGCTCCCCTGGAAGCTTCTCACAGATTCTTTCTATGTTCTCAGTATTTATTATGTTGATCAGGCTGGGGGGATGGGAGGAGCTCCCCCAGCCTGGCAGGAGGGGGTCCCCCTGGCCCCCCACTCCCTTGGCTGTTACAGGTTGCTGGGGGATACGAGACAGCGGTCAAGGAAGTTCAGGATCTCCTGCCAGGAATGCTCCTGAGCTTTGGCATGGGGCTCTGGCTCACCCCCCCAGTGCACAGGTTTGGGGCTCCCCCGGATCAGTGAGATGCTGCACAGTGGGGACCCCGGCGGTTCGATCAGGTGCCCGGCTCCGGGGTACGAGAGCAGGGTGTAGTTCTTCTTCCCGTGGCTCTTCATCCTCTCTATGGCCATCTCAGCAAACAGTTTGCTGTTAAAATTGCGGTCGGCTTCTCCCACCACGAAGAGCACCTCCCCTTGAGCCTTCTCCACAGGGATGGCGGCAGCTGCGTGGGCCGGGTCCCGGGGGTCCTTGAAGACGTGGTAGTTGTCCAGGACCCCCATCTCTGTGATGAGCAGCCGCTCAGGGCAGTAGGGGATGTGGGGGATGTGGACCCCTTTGTAACGCAGTGGCGTGCCATTCAGGAATCCTGTGCCATTGATCCAGACGGCAGCCACCACCTGCTCTAAGAAGGCAGCCATGGCCAGCGTGACCTCGGCCCCTTTGGACACCCCGATCACTCCGAGGCCTGGGCCTTTCACCTGAAAAACCCACAAGGAGCCACATTGGAACAATCATGCCAACAGCCTGGGAATCGGCAATTTGGAGCCAGCACAGGATGGGACCAGGAGGAGCCTGCAGGAGGCGCTGTGACACAGAAGAAGATGGAGCCTGCACTAGCCAATCCCGGCACTATGACCCTGGGGCAGGAACCTGCACTGCCCAGCCCTGTCCTCCCCAGTGGTGGTGCTGGGACACCAGGGTGGGGCAGGAACCTATATTGCCTAGCCCCATCCTCCCCAGCAGGGGGCGCTGTGACACCATGGAGGGGGAGGAGCCTGCACTGCCCAGCCCCACCTTCCTTAGCAAGGGGCAATGTGACCCTGAGGGAGGAGCCTGCACTGCCCAGCTCCATCCTCCCCAGCAGGGGGCGCTGTGACACCAGGGAGGGGTAGATCCCATGGGTGAGAGTCGTAGCCAGGACCTGCTACATGTCCGATATCTAGGCTGGAGCCCCTGATCCAGTGGCTGTGAAGGGACCCTAGTGAAAGAGTGGGACATACCTTGGGGTGTTTCAAGAGCAGGTTGGCTGCTTCCTCGAAATACTCCAGGTCTACCTCTGCCAGCACCCGTGGCAGGTCGTCATAGCCAAAGAACGCCAGCGCCAGTACGGCGTAGCCCCGGCTGGCGAGCAGGCTGGCTCGGAACTCAATGAGCCCGCCGGCCCCGCCAAACATGTCGATCACCCCCGGAAAGGGGCCTGGCCCTGCAGAGAACGGGGGAGAGAGGCATTGTGGAGAAAGGGAAAAACACAGCAGTTAGTTATGGCGACCCCAGGGCTAAGGGCTTAGCTTGTTTTCCAAGGCAAACTAGGGCTCAATAGAGAGGGAGGATCACAGGAACAGGAATCTATTTCACTTGTGCAAAAGTCTTCCATTGAACTGGATATCAATGGAAGTTAGAGGCCTAAATACCTTTGTTGATCTGGGCCACTGCCTCTTAAGGAACTCCATATTCCTGTCGTTCATGTGTTGAAGCCAACACCACAGGACTATTGCCAACTCTCACCATTTCATCTTGAGGTCTCGTGAGATTTGGGGATTTTCTTTAATGCTCCTGAGGATCTCAGCTTTCATTTTCTTTAAAAAATAGTTTCTAGCTCCCATTGTTGGAGAAATGTTAAATGTGACCCATAGATGCTCAGAAAGCAGATGCCCAACAGAAAGAACCCTATAGTTATTATTTTTCAAATCTCAAGATTTTTAAGCCAATCTGGTGATTTTTGAACACCTGGAGTTGGCAACCTCTGTTTTTTCTGAGGGGCCGAGTGATTAGTTTGGAAGTTTTCGTTGTATTTGATCCTCTGAGAATTGGCTCTAAAGAGAATTAACTTCTTGATGAGCCTCGAAGCTGTCATAAGTGGCGGGGTGGGGGGAGAATTCTTTTTTATAATTTCAATAGATACCCTGTTTCCCCGAAAATAAGACAGTGTCTTATATTAATTTTTGCTCCCAAAG